GCACATGGCCGGAAGTGACTAATCGTCACAGGTAATTTAAAGAGCTCTAACACGTGTCATTGATCTAATAGCTTACTGATGAAGCATATGTCAGTTTTTCATGTAGAGTCCCTGTGACCTTTGCAAGAGCAGTGGAACGAAGTACTATATATCTTTTTTTCTTCAAACTTTTTAATGATTCTTAATATTTAACTAATTAATATGCACGTTGATATAATTTATACTTCCGAAAATTTGAATTTATACACTTTTCTGTTATGTTTTCTATTCATATTTTCATCAATTAAAAATATATATTTATATAGTTATAAACAAATTCAAACCAAAAACGCAATTTAATAAAAAATATTGTTCATATTACGTATACTACAGATTTTCAATACTGACAGTGTATATCGAAACACGGTTTTACTTTCATCATGGGAACCCTATTTTGGAAATTCGATTTAAAAAAAAATCATTTCACTGGAACAGTGATGAACGATCACATAACACTACGCCTTTGATGCGTCGTCTACATTGTCTACAATATACGGAGTAAGAAATAAGAGTAAGAAATTAACCAATAACAGCCGAATATGAAAATTATAGTCGATGTGACTGGACAATTTCTTACTTTTATTTCTTATTCCGTGTATTGTAGACGACGCATTAGCCTACACTGTATGGTTCTTACTAACAAGAAAGTAAATCCCGCTGTATCCATATATCGGCATTATCTATTACATGGACGCTATTCTACAAAGTAAAGAAAAATTGTATAGAATAGAATAAAAGGCATAACATAATGAATTTTTTGAAACACCAAATAATGAAACAATGATGAAATAATGCCTTGATGATGAGCCTGCAAAATTGGGCTCCAAAATAAAGGTGAATAAAATGTTTTGATAGTATAATTTCGTCGATTAGTATAATTTAGTATAGTTACTGCTAACTTACCAATATAACATAATAAGAATGAATTTACAAAAATATAGAATAAAAACAAAAAGTGACTTTTTTTTAAAAGCATATAGGTTCAATATTAAAGTGGTAATTCCTTACAAGACAGCATATCTTTTTCAAGTAAGTATATATTTCTGAGATTTTCTTTACGAGAAGAAATAATCGATTTTCGGCACAATTAGACGATTACATTGTGATTGTAAGGGCAATTTTATAAAAATAATGTTCTAATAATCTTTTATTTTTAAAGAATTTTCTCTTGTCAAACATAATTCCAAATCGTAGAGTTGTACTTTGTAATGCGTTTTCATTACGAGTGTTATATTTTATGTTTCTATCATTACACGTAACAGAGATAGATACGAAATAGAAGTTTTCAGGATACTCATATATGTTGACAGGTTTACCACAACAAAATTTCCAGCCAGCAGCTTGGCGGGAGATCGTGTTCTCATAATAATGAAGATTAAATTTCTCGCCAACTTCGTCGGAAAATCGTACCAACTGCTTTGATAAATGAAAAGTCCAATTTCTTCCATTTGGGACTTCAAGTGATCGCCGACAAAACTATATATGGACAATTGCGTTAGGGAAGTACACAGTACCAAAGCGCTTTTCCCTATAACAACAACGTTGTGTGCTTTTAATGCTAAGATAAATTGGAACCCTGAAAAATTATTTATCTGCTTAAGATTCTTGTAACATACATATTTTGATAAATTTTATAATGTTATAAAAACAATATTTACCCATGATACACAACAAGATGCTGCTAATAAATAATTGCGTTAGCAAAACTACACTGATCGTTTCGGTCAATTCCTTGGCTAATTCCATTAGATAGTTATGTCTCTTAATTAGATCGTTGAAACGGTCGTAGAATTGCGGACTTGAGACAACAAAGTTGACGAAATCGGCTTTTAGTATTTTTACTTGGCCGCACAAATGCAATGTAATATTGAGAAACAAAGAATCATTACCTTTATAGAAAGGAAAAAAAGGAAATACAATGGTATAAATTTTATTCCATTAATATAATAAAATATACACATACAGAGTAAGTCACGGAAATCTACATTTTTCAAAATAAAGTAACATTACATAACATAATTTAAATATTAATTGCTTTTTATATAACTATAAAAAATAGAATGCTATTTGAGTATTGGACAAAACAGTTCTGTCAGTTCTTTAATATGATTGGTTTCTGCCTTTAGATCTTTGCTAGATCTTAATGTAGAATCCAATCGAAATAAAACATTCTATTTTCTGTAGTTATACAACAAGAAATTAACACTTAAGTTATATTTTATATTATTACTTATATTAAAAATTGTAAAGTCCTGTAGCCTATATACTCTATAATAGTTTATTAAATTATTTGTATTATCTTTATCTACACACACACAAGAATTACATTTTGTTTTTACGTGTAACGTTTTTATTAAAATATTTTCTACTTTTATGTTATTCCCTAGAACTTTTAGAGTGAATCTTTATTATTAGCAATAAACAATTAATAATTACTTCAATAAAGTTAATAAAATATTTGGATACAATTTTATGTTCAGAATTCTGGCATATTTTAAATAACATTTCATGATGGAAAAATGTAAAGAAACATATATATTAAACAACAAATAGATATTACCGTGATTACAGGTAGACGTAAGTATTAGCACAATAAACTCGAAGATACAGATAAATTCATACATGCTCCTTGGGACATGCAAATATTCTAACGCGCATCTTGACGGCATTGGATAGTCCAATACTATGTCTTCATTTGTTCTATTGATCTGGATATCTTGATCATCAACCAGATCTTCCCCAAGAAGAGGTATTAGCGAATATATTACCACACTAATGTAAGCGAAACACACCATGAAACAGGAGAGAATTCTTCCCATAAAAGCGTGTTTCCGCATGATGGCACGGTACTCTGCATTTTTAATTGTCAAATAATCATTCCTGGCAGAACTGTAATTGTCAGTTAAATTTTTTGCGTAAATACGGAAACATATAATCTTGAACACTCCGAGTAGACCGCAACAGGCTAACATGAGACTGTCTATATTCTGCTCCGTGTTAGTACAACCCATGTGAAACTCCATGGAAGGCAAGATCACTATTGTGCTCTGTTGATTTGGGTAAAAGGTATAATTTCTCAATTAAACAGCTTTTGTGTCTACTAAAAATATGGCCCAATTCCAAATCGACGGGTCATCGAAAATATTAAAGTTTAAATATGACATCAAACTTTTAAAATGGGAATAAATAAGCTTCCATTTTAGCTCTGTATGTATTTATAAATACATTAGGATTATCTGAACTAATATAAAGATATGCAAAATTGAGCACTTTATAATTTTAATATTAACATATTTACCAGGGACAGTCATTATACAATGGATAATATAATGGTTATATATAAATATTTTCGTACTATAAATAAAAATTTAATGGAAATAATATCAATGAAAAACTTTCGTTAACTTTATATGTAAATTTTATTCATCTAATTTATTTTCTGTGTATGCGATCTATTCTTTTTGATACGATATTATACCAAAGATGTTACATCAATGCGATTCTTAAATACAAATAACGAAGTCACAAAATAAATGACATAACACATCTATAGAATTTCTTAGAAATAGTTGTGCTACCCTTCACATAAACAAGAAATAAACCGTAAGTTCTAAGTAGAAATATCTTCATTGAACAACAGTTAATGATTTGTGTGGCTATGATATTCTCTATCAATGACTTATTACTTCTGAAAAACAAACTCGTATTTTTCCTGAAAAAAACACAATTTCGCTACGTCATCACTAATAGGACATCTATCGTTTAAAAATTTAAACACTTGCTATTGTTATCTATATCAATAAAGTTTTATTTCAAATATTGTGATGTTAACGTAAAAATTCTATCTACGTGTCGTGACAAGAATCATCGAAACTGAGACAATACCAGGCAACAAGTGACCAAGACACATCGTATCAGCGAATAGATGTCATAAACTTGAAGTGGCCAAAGGCCGATCGGCCACGTTAACAGTTTGAAGGGGGTCATCGCATATGCGACATCGTTCTTCCATTGCAGACTTGCCATCAGGTCGACGTAATGACTGTAACTGATGCCAATGACCAATAATGTGCCCGGTACATCGCAGGCATTTCCATTCATTTTTTATTCAACTTGAAACATATACCTGCTTATCAACCTATCTTCACTGTCTTATCGCATTATCAGAAAGTGCAGGATGTTATGCTCTTACGCCAAATTGTTTTTGAAGAATTTACGTAACCATTTCTTCTAAATTGTTGCGAACTATATCCTGTTCTGTATGGAGAAACTGACATATCGTTTACTTGAACAGTTCAGTCACTACGTTACTCTCTGTGTAGTTTTATTTCAGTTTCGCAATGCAGATGCAACGATGTCGATCGAATTTTATGAATTTTTCCGTTCAAAAGTGATATAACAGGTGAGCCACACATCTCGTTTTTATTTCGCAAGACAGAAAATAAAAAGCAAAAGTTAAAATATATAATCTCGCAAAATGTTTGTAGGCAAATCATACCATTTACTTAAATAAATCGCACGAGAAATTGCATTTTTGAGGACAGAGTTTCTTTCTGTATAAGAAGCTGATATAGTTGTATAAAAACATGCGTATTGTTATAATGTATTAAAAGAGTTTATACGTTTTGTGACTAAAAAAAAATTTACAATTAATTAACGACAAATTAAGCTGTAATTCTGAAAAATACTTGATGTTTAACTATCTATTTTTGCAACAAATAATCTTATTATTATTCTTTTTTAAATGATTGATTAGACATAAAACGAGCACAATATGATAAGGAATTATCATTGGAAAACAAGAAATATATAGTTTGTATTAAATTCGTATTTTCTATTAAACATATAAGTGAAGCGTAGAGGATTTGTTGAGCGTCATCAAAATGACTACATCGACAATTTTTTACATGTCTTTGGCTAGATTTAAAAGCAAACAGTATCTCTCAATTAGTATAACTATTTCAGTTTGTTTCTAATATCTGTTTTTCCTGAATCTCTCCGTGGAACAGCAATAGCTCTATGTACAGGCTGAGCTCTTCTAATTGACCACAGAGATGCATACAAACACCGAAGAGGAAACATCGATGCCAACATTCTTCATAGATGTGCTGATTAACTAAAAAGAAAAAAAAATATATATATATTAAAGAGTACATATATCGTAGCAAATGATCTAAGCTTTGAACGAACAGATCATCTCTTGAGGCAGTTCCATGCGCATCTCTTTTTCAGATTTGGAGTAGATATGATGTTTTATGAAGAAGGCGACGTCGCAAAAGATAGAAATGACCTAATCATTGGTATAATAATAAAATATTTGGAATTATCTGAAAGAAGAACAAATTTGCCCCTACATTATATAAACTACCATAACGGTATGTCGTCATAAAATAAATATGGAGAAGTTTATAAGATATATTCAAATAATACATGTATATTTTTATTAGAAAATTTTACTGGGTTATATGTACGTATAAACAACAGTTCACAGAATTAATAATTATTCTGAAGAGGAAGAGAAAATATAAGTACTGAAACTTACAATAAACATATAATAATTTATACACAAAGGTGGGTGTTTATATACCTATCTTTCAAAAGAAAAATTATCTTTTTTATGCTGGATTAAATATAAATTACCTATTGCAAAAAAAAACATAAATGTACTTCACATGTTAGAGAAAATAAATTATTAATAAATAAGACAATTTTACTTTTAATTAAATAACTTTCGCTTGCATAAAACCCTGCAATTTATATTTTCAGAAACACAATTTAGATCATTGATAACACATTTTGACGATTAGATTAATCTGCAATCTATAAAAAGCAATGCGCAATTTTACAAAATTTTTGCCATGATCAAACTCTCATGAGTCGAACAGCCACGTTACTCGCTAGAAAGAAAATATGTGCAATATTTTTTATTCTACGGTTTGCATGACGCTATATACCGCATACATTAAGGGTTACGGTGTCATCGAGCGTAAGCAGCAGCTAACGCAGTTCATACTTTCATTCATTACTTATCGATCGGAACGCATTTTGCTATGCACCCCGACGTTGAATATTTCTGTAGTTTTACGAATTTGTAACTATTGCACATGGGCCAGAAGTAACTATTCATCATATGTAATTCGTAAAAACCCTTTATAGCTCTAATACGTGTCATTGATCTAATAGCTTAATGATAAAGCATATGTTAGTTTCTCATATAGAGTCCTTTTGACCCTTATACAAGGGCAGTGGAACGAAGTACTACTTTTTTTCTTCAAGCTTTTTGATGATTCTTAATATTTAACTAATTAATATGCACATTGATATAATTTATACTTTCGAAAATTTGAACTAACATTTTCTATAATATTTTCTGGTTATATTTTCATCAATTAGGAATATATATTTTTAATTATAAACTTTTGTTATAACAAATTCAATAATATACTTTTGTTTATAACAAATTCAAACCAAAAACGCAATTTAATAAAGAATATTGTTTATATTACATATATTACAGATTTTCAGTATTGATTATGTATGAAACGCGGCTTTACTTTCATCATGGTAACACTATTTTGGAGACTCGACTTTAAAAAAATCATTTTACTAGAACAGTGATGGAAGATCACATAGTACTACGCCTTGTATGCGTCGTCTACAATACACGAAGTTAGAAGTAAGAGTAGAGGAAAGTCGCCGATATTGACATAGGTCTCCTGAAGTGACACCCCCTTATTTTTCGGAAACTAACTATTGCACTTTATTAATACTAATAAAATCATGATCTGTTTATCTAATTAAAGAAGTACAAATTCATAATTCGTAGGTTTGTGGCTTGTTTCTAAATCAAATCAGCTAAAAACGAATTCTACAAATGCGAAAATAAAATTCTTACGATCTTCTTTTGCAAATTGTGAGTTTTAAATAATAGTGACTATATTATTGATAATATTACGTCATTTTAAATACTTGTAGTTTCCGAAATAAGTTTTATTTATATTATTTTTTCTCTTAGTCTTTTCATAATACGATTTTTAATTTAAAATTGGGGTGCAGCGTAAACCGACACACCTCTCCGTAAAACAGACCATGAACTAACTTAATCTTTATAATGTTCCTTTATAGTGTCAAATAAGTCTATTGGAGCTGAAGGCAATCGTGCATATATGGAACAACTTTAGAAAAACTATCGTGTTACATATTTGCATTTTGTAGAACAGCATAAAGTAAATATGCATATAATTCAATAAAAATGTTTTATAACAAAGTAAAATGATTCTGAAAAATCTTATATACATTCACTTATAGGTATTTTATACAGATAATTTCTATAAAAGAAAAAGAATAGCAATACGTAGCATTACTGCCTACTGTGTCAGTTTTGAAGTCCATTTTGTCAGACGCTCATTTTTGCATAACTTACGAAAAACTTAATTATTTCAAAATTGCTAACAGTATTATAAAAATTGCTTATACTATCTGATAGAAGACACTTTTTACTTTGTATTTATGTTTTTGAAGTTGTATTTTTACCTTTTGTTTAAGAAATATTGTCTAAAAACAAAGTGGTATGTCGGTATCGGCCTTTCTCTAAGGAATTGACCAATAACAGTCGAATGTGAGAAGAATAATCGATTAGTCAATTTTTTACTTTTACTTCTTATTCCATGTATTGTAGACGACGCATTAGTCTAACCTTTGTAGTTCTTACTTACGAGAAAGTAAACCCCGCTGTCTCCATCTATTACATGGACGCTATTCGAGGAAGTAAAGAAAAACCGAATAGAATAGAATAAAAAAGGCACAACATTATGAATCTTTTGAAATATCTAATAATAAGATAATGATAAAATAATACCATGAAGACGAGCCTCCAAAATAAAGGTGAATAAAGTGTTTCCATAGCATAATTTCGTCAAAAAAGTAAATAGCGAAATTAAAATTATTATCAAATATATACATATACATATATATATATATATATATTTCTAACAATATTTATTGAGCAAGCATAATTTGTAATACAGAAAAATAAGAAGCGGAAATTTTCAACACATTTGTGAAACTATTAAGGTTTATAATATAGAATTTACCTACTTTAATTCGAACGGGTACATTAGCACGAGCTATTATGAAACTTACATCCCGTAGAATGTTTGTAGGCAAGTTGTACCATTTACTTAAATAAATTGCGTGAGAAATTGCTTGCGTTTTTGATGACAGAGTTTCTCCCATGTAGCTGTATATAAACAGCTGTATCATTAGTATATTAATAGAGCTTATACTTCTCATGATAAGAACAAAATCACTCTTTACCAACGATAGAATAAACTGTAATCCTAAAAAATACCCAATATTTAACTACCTATTTTTGTAACAATTATTTGTATTATCCTTTTTTAAACAAATATTTGGAAATAAAGTAAGCATATTTGTAATAAAAATTATTGAAAAAAGAGAAATATATAATGTGCGTTTTAAATTTAAATTACCTATTAAACATATAAACAAAGCGTGGAGAATCAGCTGAGCAATTAAAATGATATTGAGTACACCAACGACGTCTTTGGCTAGATTCAGAAGCAAACAGTGCCTCTCGATCAACGTGACCATTTTACTTCGTTTCCAACAACCATTCTTCTTCCTTTCGTGAAACTGCAGCAATTCTCGACTGAGCACTTCCAATTGTCCACAGAGATGCATGCAAACACCGAAGAGGAAAACATCACTACCAACATTCCCCGTACATGTACTGATCAGCTGAATAGATTGAAAAATACACATACTGAAGCAAACGATCTGAGCATCGAATGGACAGATCGTCTCTTGAGGTAGCTGCATTGCTCGCATCTCTGTCTCGGATTTTGCAATTAATGTTACGTTTTGTGAAGTCATCATCACAAAGGATAAAAGTGATTCAACTATCAACGGCGTAATGACAAAATACGAGGAACCCATCTGAAAAAAGAAGACAAATCTGCCTAGGTTGGTATAGCGAAACATGACTTGCCGATGATCTTGTTTTGTAATATACGTCCAGTCATTCGATGCATTGACGAGATTTTTCAATAAGTTGTCGCGATGCAATCGTATCAGCGCTATTTTTACGATAGTCAAAGTTCCGCATGACGCTAACATGAGGTGATCGATGACCATAACCAGAGTGACATTGTTGTGAAAACTAATATCCATGCCTATATAAACTATCATCATAGTCTGTCAATATAAAATAAATATATAAAAGAATATAAAATTACCGAAAATAAAAATCGGAGCGTAAATCGAATATAAATTAAGAGTAATAGAAGTATCAATTAAACTTTTAGGAAGCAAAAATTGAAACAGCGTTTGAAAAGTAAACTCTCGCTGTTCCAATTTACGCTTTCTAAAAATTTCGTTGACACTTTTGTTATTTTGCCTTTACATTCGACTTACACTCTGATTTTTATTTTTGCCAAGGAAAAAATATATTTTATTAGAAAATTTTATTTGCTAATACGTATAAACAATAACTGTACAGAATTAATTATTAGTCTATTTTAATCTTGCGTGAGCTAGATAGTAAAAATCAATGAAGTTGATTTTTCTATCTGGTTCGTGGCAGTACGGTAAAATATAACACGGAATATGAAATATCCCATATGGCGAATCATATGTGGGGTATTACACAACCCATGTTATACTTCACCATAAGTGTGCTAATTTAGTACGACTGGCAACGTTGCAATTCTGACTACACGACCCTTATAGAAATTTAATACCAGTATACTGACTAATTAATTACATATTTTGAGTATTAAAAGTATTGTTAATAGCACTTTTAATACTGAAAATATGTGATTAATTGGTCAAAATTAGTATTAAATTCCTATAAGAAGCAATTTGAGCGCAGCATTTTTTAAAAAGTTATAGAAGTTTATATTTTGCTGAGGTGTGTGTGTGTATATATATATGTATATATATATGTCAGCCTTATCTAATTTACCAAAAATTAAGAAAGATAAAATGTTAACCCTAGTATGATATTATTTTTGGTTACCTTCCTTATAACATCAGGGTTTGTAAAACTGCAACTTTGTCACGCTATATCTCTGGACTGAATACGTATTTTTTAGCTCAAAAAGTGTGAAATTTATTTCTCGAAGTCAGACAAAGACGGATAAATATGAATAAAATGAATAACATTTTATTTTCAATTAATTACAATGTTTCAAAGAAATTTTGTTGGAAAATTTCGCAAAAAATGACTACTTTAAAAATTCTCAAATTTTTTAATTTAATGTTCAAGTAAAAATTCGTAGGATTTTTTTAGTTGACCGTTTTAACTAACAAAAAAAAATAGTACGATATAAATCGCTCAAAAAAGTATAATTATTTGAACTATCGAAAATCGATATTTTTGAAGAATCTACATATTTCAAGTTTACAATTAATAAATAAAATTTTATTATTTGAATAATATAAAAGAGTAATAACATAAATAGATAAAGGATTGTACATGTATAAATATTATTATAATATGTATAATTAAGTATTAGGATTTAGTTTAGAGGATGATGCAACACTCGCTCTAAAGCAATAAATCCGCCTCGGCAGAGTGATCCCTGAAGACTGACAAAAATTATAAAATTTCTACTATTTATTATATTGAAATATAATTCTTTTTAGTTCTACATTTTCGTGTACTTACTTTTATACTATCCGAAACTCAGTAAACGTATATTTAATAAAAAATAAAGAGGTACCCAGAATGCCGAAAACTTACAAGCTAATCACATGTGAGTCCCAAGTATCCTCTTTGAACTTTCGTGCATTCTCACATCGAGAATAACGCAAAAAAATCTCTTGCAGATTTATCATATCTATGGACAGTTAAAATTTTTTTTTAGCCTCAATCCGGGTCTTCAAATTATATTATAAAAAAGTTACAGCAATGTAAAAAATCGCATAGGATATGTTAAACCTATGAATATCATACTAGGGTTAAAACTTGTAATAAATTATTTCCCTGTAAACGCCAACTAAAAATAGTATTAATGTTATAATTTCACACTTTACAATGTAAATATAATATAATACATATAGTATAATAGATACATCGTTGAGTATAAAATTATAAGATTATGACATTAATATTTTAGTGTTTTAGTATTTACTGAGTTATATTTATTTATGTTATAGTCGACATGTTAATTCGAAAATACAGTAAATGTATGCAATATGTGATCTGCTGTAATGAATGTATACATTTACTATACATAAATATATACATTGACTAGTGAGTGTAACACTTTGATTGTGATATATATAAAAGTTAATATTCAATTTTTATCTATGAAAAACTTTTTTTTAATATTTTTTTATCTAAAAAAATGTAATATGCACTTCATGTGTTAGAGTAAATTATATATTAATAAATAAAGCGGTTTTATTTTTAACTAAATAACTTTCAGTTAGACAACATTTAAATTTACCTGTGTGACTATAAGAAGTAGCGCACGCAATTTTGCAAAGTTTCTATTACGATCTAAAGGCCATGAACCAAGCGGCCACATTATTCGCTTATACAGAGAAAATTCGCGAGACATTTCTTTGTTCCATGTTTTACATGATGCCATCCTCGCATGTTAAGGATTACGGTGTTATCGAACGTAAGCACTAGCTAACGCAGGTTATGCATTCATTCATTATTGATTGGAGCACATTTCACTATGCACCCCAATGTTGAATATTCCTGTGGCCTTGCACATTTGCAGATAACACGCATGGCAGAAATGACTATTTGTTATATGTAATTCAGAAAAACGTAGTTCAAATATGTGTCATTGATCTAACAGCTTAATAATAAAGCATATGTCAGTTTCTCATATAGGGACCTTACCCCGTTATAGTCTCACTGCGAAACTTTATCACGCGAAGAAATAAGTTTTTACTTTATATCACCTAGAAATTTGCGACTAGAGAATATTAAAGATCCGAGAGAAGTATATTTGCAAAGATAAATTTATGAAGATAGTAGAAAATCATAAGTAATTATGTGTATTAAAAATTTTTTTCTCAATTTTAATGTAAGATTTAATTGAAGTAAGTTGATTTATATAAGCATAATTAAACTTTTTATTTAAAAAATATTATTATAAAATATTCAAAATGTTATACTAATAAAAAATGGTATACTAATAAAAAGATATTCTTTTAGTATCTTATAACATTATTTTTATAATAATAAAACTTTACTAGTTTAAACTATAAAATGTTTGGAAAGGTATAATTATATTGGAAGTATGTAACTAGAAAAATTATATTAAAAATATGCAGTTAATATTTTATATAATATTAACCTAATTATTGTACGAAATTGATTATACGAGTTTGTATCAAGTATTATTTTTTGATCTAGATTTAAAACGTTCGAAATCGCTTGAAAATAACAACACTTGCCTAGCCGTCGAACGATGATGTTTTTTATTTCGAGTGCTTCAGTAAAAAAAAAAACTCGCGAGATCAAGCTAGAGTCGTTCGACGAAAACATCTGATTGACCGCTAGCACGACTTTTATATCAACTGATCGCCTACAAGAAGTGCAAGACAATAAACAATAGAAAACAACTAAACGATTGTTAATCATTCAGCTAATTGGCTCCATTTTAATTTATTTCCGGGTATTGGAAAACTCGGAAATATTCTTGAACAACAGAGAAATAAAACTTTGAGTCTAATTCGCGAAATACTTGATAATAGTTGTCCGTGCTAATCAGGCTGCGATCCGATTAATTCACGTTTACAATACTCGTGAGTATTATTTGATCTTGTTTAACATTTGATTAACAACAAAGATTCCAAAAATAATCTTATTATCGCATTACTTTATTAAATCTTCTTTTCGATAGTCGCTTCAATCGCGCTATCGACATTACTTTGATTGCCGCACTATAAGTGTGCATTCGCGATTAAAAAACTGTAAATAGCCATATACAATCATATAAATACAATTTTTTGTCAAGTGCATGTCAATCTCGTCTTTCATTTTTTTTTAATCAATGTTTGCATCCACTGATTTGTTGATTCCACGTTACGATGTGAACGTTTCCGTCTTTAAATATACAACTTTAGACATAATTAATCTATTTAAATATATTGCAATATTTTTTCTCTTATATTTTATCAATTGTTTTAAAGAGATAACAAAAACACATTGTTACTATATAAAAATTAAACATTAGGGAAGTGATCTCACTTTTTATAAAAATATATAGGCATGATGTATAATTAGAATTAGTTGTAATATATTTAAAAGAAGACTGTTTCTCTAAATATGTGTATATTTTTAATATTATACATGAAAAAAAAATTGATTTGGCACAATTGACGATTGCGCGTTATAATTATGATCAACAGTTTTATTAAAATAATGTTCTAATTAAATCCATCTTTCTTTACAAATCTCTGTTTTAAGCCGATTTAGAATTTCTGTAGAATTCTTTTATTTTACATTTTATATTTTATGTTTCTACCATTACTCGAAGTACAGACAGATACGTAATAGAAGCTTTTAGGATGCTCATATAGGTTGATAAATTTACCACAATAAAATGTCCAGCTCGCAATGTGACGGGAGATTCTGACCGCATAATGACGAAAATTAAGTTTCTTGTCAGTTTTGCGGGAAAGTCATACCAGGTGTTTTGATAAATACAAAGTCCTACTTCTTCCATCTGAGATTTTAGATAATCCCCGACAAAACTATATAGCATTAATTGTGACAGAAAAGTACTCTGCACCATTATACTTTTAGCTGCCATAGCAGTGTCGTTGTCTTTCAATGCTAGAATAAATTGAAAACCTGAAAAAGAAATTACTTGTTTAGTAGATCCTTATAACCTAATTCTATATGTTACGAAACAACAAATAATGTAATAATCACCCACTATGCATAATTGTAAACTGATAATAGATAATTGAATTAATAAAATAAAACTAATTGTATCAGCAAGTTCTCTGGCCAATCTTATCAAATAGCTGTGTCTTTTAATTAGTGTGAGGAAACGTTTATAAACTTGCGGCCTTGTAACATCAAAATCGATAAACTTGGCTTTCAAAACTTCCACTTGACCGCAAATGTGCAGCGTAATGTTGAAAAACAAAGAGTCGTTACCTTAATAGAAAATTAATTGATACGACGCTGTAATATTATATTAATATACAGATTAATATATGGATATTCAATGCTACTATTATTTAAAAAATATTATTTATATACTTATAAAAAAATTATATATAAAAATATATTACATTAAAATAGCCAATAATTTTTTTATATTAGTTTTTTACATTTGTATAATTATATACGTTCTAGTTTCATATCTTATGTGCTACATCTTTATAAAAATATTTGTTAATTTTTACTATATATATTTTGTTTATTTGCGTGCATAATATACAGGGTGTTCGAAAAATAATGATACATTTTCGCATAGGAGCAGAATAGACTAAACTGAGAAGAAAAGTCTTCTACCATTTTACAATTTATTAATTACTAAAAATTTCCGAAAATTGGTTTTCAATAATTTTTTACTTAAATACAATCAACTTTACAGAAAAACTGCAAGAGACAAAAATTATTTATTTTCTTCTTATAGAACTCTACGAATTTTTTCAGAATTTTTTATCAACTTTTTAATACTGTATTTCTCAAATGATCAAATTTAAGCGGAAAGCGGATATTTATTATTCAGATTAGACGATATTGTTCAATTTTATGATTTTGCGTTTTGTAATTATTGCGATTTAACATTGACTGTGCAAGAACATCATTTTGTACAATAAGAATATATATTAAGTTTGCTTATCTAATTACTGACTCTTATACCGTCCTATATTTTTTACCATTTAATTCAACTGTATTTCTCATTTTTACCAACATGAGAAAATACGGTATTAAAAAATTCTGAAAAAATTATTTAAAAATTCTTAGAGCTTTACGAGAAAAAAATAAACAATTTTTGTCTCTTGCAGTTTTTCTATAAAGTTGATAGTATTTGAGTAAAAAATTATTGAAGACCAATTTTCGGTAATTTTTAGCAATTAATATCTTATTTATTAACTATTGCGAAAATTGCAAAATGGTAGAGAACTTTTCTTCTCAGTTTAGTCCATTCTGCTCCTATATGAAAGATTTATCATTATTTTCCAAACACCCTGTATACATATATACAATATTTATATCCACATTAAAAGTGTATAATCTTAATTTTTTTACAATAAACCTTCTCAAGCTGGTAGTAATATTAAAACAATTTGTATCTATTATTTTTTGTTTAATTTAAACAAAATCTGTGTTGATTTTCTCCATTATTATTTATTCTTTCAAAAAACTGATTGGTTTTCAATGGATTTAAAATTATTTAAATGAAGATAATCATCGTAAAATAATGTGAATTTTCGTAGTGTAATGTTATTGTTTATAACAGACAAGAAGGCACAATACACATATTATAAACTTTTTTTTTAATTCCAATTATATAATTTTGCGTTTATAAAATGTACTAAATATATATTACACAACACAAAAAAATAAACGAAAATATCAAATACATAACACAAAAAAATATCAGACAGCAAATGTTACCATGATTAGTAGTACTTGTTAAAGTAAGTGAGATAGCTTCGATGAGACACAAGATTGTATGCATGTTTGTTGGAGCATTGAAATACTCCAAAGCGCATCTTGATGGTACTGTATACTGTAACATGGCCTCATTCGTTACATTTATTTTATGATTAGCATTACCCAAAAATGGAATTATTGTGAATAATAGACAACTAAAGTAAGAAAAACACATTAGGGAACAGCAGAGAATTCTTCCCGTAAAAGCATGTTTTCGCATAATGGCCCGATGTTTTGCGTTTTTAATCATCAAATAATCGTTCAGAGCAGAACTGTAATTGTTAGTCAAATTCCTTGCGTAAATGCGAAACCATACTGTCTTCAGTATACCAAGTATTCCGCAACAGAGTAACATAAGGCTGTCTACGTTCTGTTCAGCGTTATTGCAGTCCGTGTAGAGTTCGATGGAAGGCAATATTACCATTAGGCTCTGTTGATATGTATAAATTTATATTTTATATAAAGCTTTATGTGTTTAAAAAAGATGTGTCTGCATTCTACTTTGATGAATCTTTATTAATATTAATTGCAAATAACAGTTAGAAATTAATACAAATATAGCTATACAATATTTTGTCTATGCTTAAAGCATAAAAAGATGTTAGAATATAAACCAGTCTGATTTAAAGATAAAAACAGTATATAATTATATGTTTAAAGATTTAATGTTATCTGCATGAAAAGAATGAGATTTTCCTGAAAATATCTAAAAACTTAAATAAAAAACTGAAAATAATTTTGTTGAATCATCGAAATAATTATGCAGAAAACTCAATGATGTGCAACGCTGTAAAAAATGTTGACATTTTAGCAATTAGCTTGAGCATCTTATATAATTATTTTGAGTATTTTATGTATTTTAGCCCAACAAAATTATTTTCAGATTTAAATTTTGTAGACATCTCAGGAAAACTTTTCTTTCCATGTGTATATTTTTTCAAAGTTTTCTTTACTCAGGACTATTCCCTAGATCTAAAAATATAATTCAATCAACGCGAAGAAAACTTCCAACAATTGCAAAATAAACATTCTGCTAAATACGGCCAATGAGAATTTATTTGCCATTCTGTATTCATTTTGTCTTTTTTATACAAATCGTGAAATAAACCATATAGAATACATGTAGACTATATTATACTTAGAATGAATTAGAATACTATCATCAAGCATGAATGAGCAACAACAGACATAAAGATTTTAAGAAAAATGATTTTTGTCAAAACTTCCAAGGGCTTACGATCGTGCTCATTCATGGCCCACTCACGTTATCTCTAGAAAGAAATATTTCACGTTGTCAATGAGACATCTATTGTCCAGGAGTACAGGAGGAGTCAAGCACTTGGTATTGCCATTGCGAAGTTTTATTTAGGACGATGTGATGTGGAAGATGTTTTACGTATATGTCCTGAGACTATCACGCGACAAGGTTCACTGACATCGAAAAAGATGCATACCACGCAACAGGTAGCAAAGATGCATCGTAAGAGCGAATAGACGTTATAAACTTGAAGTGGCCAAACGCCGATGGGCCACGTTAGCAATTTGAAGGGGGTCATTGCGTACGAGACGTCGTCTTTCCATCGTATGTTCGTCATCGGGACGAGGTAATAACTGTAACTGATGCCAATGACTGATGATTCGCTTCGTACATAGATGTAATGCCACTATTTCGATTCATTTTTTATTCAGCTAGAGACATATACCCGCTCATCATTCTGTCTACGCTCTTAGAACATTATAGTAAAACATAGAGAATTAGGTTTTCATGCAAAATTTCCATTGTTGCACAAGAATTTATATAGTATGACTAAATTTTCTAAGTTATCGCTCATCGAATAACTACTTTTTTCATTGCACGAACTGTTAGCTCTATTGTATACTCGTACGTTTTCTTTTGTGTAAGCTCTAATTGTCTTATATCTTATTTCAATTTAATATTCTTTTGATTGAATAGTAGACATTTTTTAGTCTATCCAAAAATAAAAATACACATTGTGCAAATGATTTATTTTTTTAATTTTTGTTTGCATATTACTCACTATCTCGATCAGCTATTTGATAAAGAATTATGAATTATGAGTATATAATTCAATATGTCAAAAATTTTCTATCCTCTTAATTTGGATATATTAATTTAACCCTTTTACCGTGTACAATTTGTGCTTTATCCATCAAGAGTCACTAAAAACTCTTTATTTTTTTCACCTCTTCAAAATAATTCGAAAAATCTCTAAAAAGTCACCAATATACTTTCAACTTTCTAGAATAAATATTGACTCTTTATTTTGGAAAATAATAAAATGTAATATAATTTATAATTACCGAAAGACTCCAAGAAACTTGCACGAACAGGAATCGCTCGGTCACTAGTTACCCATATTAGTACGGTAAGGGTTAATAATAAGTTAGAATATATGTACATATATTATTAATAATATATAGATTAATTTGGCACAGATGATTGTGGTAGTTACAAGCAGCAATTTTATTTATTAAGACAGCATTTCAATACACCCTCTCTTTTATGCATTCAAATCACTATTAGATTCTAATGATATGTATAAATCGTATATTTTCTTTTATATAAAGCTGTGTGTGTTTGAAAAACATATATGTTCAAATTCTACTTTAATAATCCGACTACGATAAGATCTAACTATAAATATAAATATATATTTATAGTTTTTAGAACTGCTATATTTTTTAATTGTATACATTATATTTCACACCTTTACCATTACACGAAGTACAGACAGATATGAAAGAGATGCTTTCAAGATGCTCACGTAAGTTATCAGATTTACTACGATAAAATTTCCAGCTTGCAAAGCGACGGGGGAATCTGAACACATAAGAATGAATATCATATGTCTCGTTAGCTTTGCAGGAAAATTGTACCAGTTGCTTTGATAAATAGAAAGCCCTATTTCCTCCATTTCGGATTTTAAATAATCCCCAATAACACTGTATAAAGTTAACTGTGTTATAAAAGTACTTTGTACCATTATATTTTTTGTAATTAAAACAACGTTGTTTTCACCTAATTGTAAAATAAGTTGAAATCCTGAAAAAAAAATTTATTTAATATAGGATAGATCTTTATATCATAATACGATTTGCAAAATAATTATAAGTATAGTATATCATTCACACACACCCATTATGCACAAAAGAATACTGATAATAAATAATTCTATCAGCAAAACGAAACTAATCATTTCGGCAAGTTCTCTGGCTAGTTTTATTAAGTATTTATGCCTTTCAATTAGTACGTTGAAACGATCATAGATATGCAGGTCTTTGATATCAAAATTAAGGAAATTAGCTCTCAGAATTTTCATTTGACCACAAATATGCAATGTAGCGTTCAGAAACAAAGCGTCGTTACCTTTCAATCATGACAAGAAATAATACAGACTATATACTGATATACTTCTACATACAGAACTGTATTGATACTTTCTTATTATTGCAATTAAAACGGAGTGAAGAAATTTATATATTATACATTTATATGTGTATATATAATATATAAATTATAAATGTTATATATACAGAGTGTTCCGAAAATTGAGGACAGTATTATTACAGCATGAAACTTCGTGAAAAAAATTAAGTAATGAAAAGGCATTCCATTTTTTTTCTGCAAAGTAGTTCTTTAAGTATAAATGTTTAAAATTGGGCCAATCCTAATAGTTGGTTAAAAAGTCATTCGTCCGAGTGACGTGAGTGCAATGGTATTAGATGTTGAACACTTCGAATGCTGTCCGAACACTTCGGACGAATGACTTTTTAACCAACAATTAGAATTGGCCCAATTTTAAACATTTATACTTAAAAACTACTTTACGGCAAAAAAAAATAAAATGCACTTTTATTACTTAATTTTTTTCACAAAGCTTTTCGCTGTAATAATGTCCTCAAATTTCGGGACACCCTGTATATGTATTATATATTATATATGTATAAATTGTATATTATATGTATATCAGGAATAAATAATTTTGTATTATTTTTATATCTATTTAATACAAATAAAGCAAAACTTTTATATCTTAAGCATGTTGTCTATATATATATATTTGACAGACAATGAAACTTTTATTAATAAAAATAATAATAATTTTTTATGCATGAAATACATTTATATATATATATATATATACATATGATTTAAAATAAAAATTGCTACAGTCTTTAAAGTGACAAAAGAAAATTCCGCTAAATAATAATCTAACAATACCTTGATTCGCAATACTTGCTAGTATTAATGCAATAACATCGATAATGCAGAAAATTTTGTGCATTCTCACTGGTACATTTAAGTATTTCATAAAGCATTTCGACGGTACTGGATATTCTAGCATAGTATCCTTTGTTATATTGACATGCTTGTATCCATTCAGAATAGCGTTTAGTCCATACATTATGGAGCTAAAACAACCGAAGCCCAAAACTAAACAACAGAGAGTCCTTCCCATAAAGGCATGTTTCCGCATGATAGCACGCTCTTTTATGTTTTCAATTGTCAAGTAATCGTCCATAACAGATCTATAATTTGTAGCCAAATTTTTTGCGTAAATGCGAAACCATATCGCCTTCAGCACACCAAGTATTGCACAACAGATTAACATGAGACAATCTACGCTTGTTTCCGCGTCAGTGCAGCCCAAATAAACTTCGAAACTGGATTTGATGAGCATGAAGGCCTATTGACATGTTTTTATATAATATAATATCTAATAGACACTAGTATACGTTATTTTCGAAGGATCGTGCGTCACTGATCATTGAGGTAAAACTCACAAGATGCATACCGGACCAGAAATGCCCACGACATATCGTATCAGCGAATAAACATTATGGACTTGAAATGGCCAGATACCGATGGACCACGCTACCAATTTAAAAGGGGTTATCGCGTATGCAACATCGTCCTTCCATCGTTCACTAGCCATTGGATTAAGGTAATGACTGTAACTGCTATCAATAACCGGTGATATGTTCAATATAACGTCCGTCTATGTTCCGACTCATTTTTTATTCATCTTAAAACCTGTATTAACCTTTATGCTCTTAATATATTATCGCAGAATATAGAGAACTGTGTTGCGCAAAATTGTTGCTTTATAAGAATTTATGTTTTTTTTTTTAGTCATGCCTTATTGAACAATCCTTTCCTGCTATTGTATATGAATGATCAAGAAAAGAACTTTATCTCTCGTTTATACTATGTGTATTCTGAGTTCCAATCATATTATGTTTTATTTTGTCTCAGTTTTTTCATGTCATTTTGAACGTGAATGTTGTAGATTTACTTCTTCCGAATATGAAAATGTGTACTGTGCAGATGAGTAGATTTTTTGAATTCTAATAATAAAATTAGTTTTATGTATATCAATAATTTTATATACTCTGACAAAATATCTGTATCAAATAAAAAGAATTAATTTTAGACATAAATGTATTCATAAGGTGATTTTCACAGTTAAACTTTTCACAAAATTTTATCACAGAATATTAGCCTATTTCTTAAAGAAATTGTATTGTAAATAATGACCTTTTTGAATGATTTATTTGTTTGTAATATTTTTTTAAGAATATTGATTTATACAGTACAAATTAAAATTATATATTAGTATTATACATTAATATTGGCCTAAACTTTTACACAGCTTTTTATAAATAATGTGTGACATATAATACATGAGAGATATGTTTTAGTAATTGTTTTATTTCTATTTGTTTCTTATTTCTCAGTTAGTATAAATATACTTTAAAAAAGGATACTTTTTTCTTTTTTTAAATATATTTTCTCTGCACTGTACCATGTATCAGAATATGATGAATTCGCAAAGTTTTAAATTAAACTATGAGTATTTCTGTGAATTTTAACATCAACTTTGTCTACAATATCCAATGATGTACTAGAATGTAATGGGGACCAATATGTTGAATATTGGACTCGAAACTTTCATTGTCTAACGACACATTCTTCAACAGTAATGCCTCCTTTGTATTTGTAACACTCAATCCGCTGAAAATCAATTATCTAAATTCTAAAGTTCAAACTGTCCATAAAATGCAATACCGACGAAAATTCCTTCTTATGTCATGAATAATTAAAACACCTAGTAAAATGTAATAAGAACACTTGATGTTGGACTCAACGAAACAAGACAAATCCATTGGCTGTCATTTACGAACATTTAAAAAGGAATTGCTGTAATGATCAATTTTTATTGGTCTGCATAAAAGTGTTCTGCTGTTTATATTATTGAAGCAGCGAATCGCTATATTATTATATAGTTTCGGATAGGCTAAGTTAACTAACTTTTAAAAGTAGTAAGCAGTTGGGTACACTAAGATAACTCGGGGTACATTCCCTTTGAATCACAAAGCTCACAAAGCTCACGAGCATTATTTATTCTTTCGTAACATTTAATAAACAACAAGGATAAAATAATTTCATGAGTGTTATGAGCGTCAATGCATCCTTAATCGCGGTAGTTGATGAAGTAGTTGGCTGCACAAGCCAACGATCAGATTGGTCGCGTGCAAGAGTTGTAGATAGTGATCACCAATAGGAATTGTTCTTGCGACAATTTTGCCTTTCTCGAACAATTCAATATGCACACGTCTTTTGTTTCAAGTTTATCTTTATTAGTACGGAGTATTTTTCATATTCTATTTCTAAAAAATCTATTAGTGAAATGAGATAGAACCGATATATGTGCGCATTCTATACGTCAGAAATTTAATTTTTTAATTTCAATACATTAATTTAATAATAAGTTAAAGTACACACACACACACACAGAGAGAGAGTGTGTGTATCTTAAATAACGTCCTAATCATATAGTGCTATTCCTAATAAAAAACTGAAAAGTTCTGCACCATTTTGCAATTTTCGCAATACTTAACGAGATATTAATTTCTAAAGAATGCCGAATAAACGGATAAAATCGATATATAAGAAAATTTTAAGATATCTTTCAGTATTCTTTGTGAAATATTTTGAAGATGTTTCTTAAGGGATAGACAGGGTAAAATTTTGAAAAATTCGATTTTTTAATTTTGTAATATTTTGAAAGATATAAGTATCGAGAATAAATATGCCAAGTTTTAAAGAAATATTCGGAAAATTGATGGAGATACAGCAGTTTTCGTGAAGCAGTTTTTGTACGACGATGCGCTAGAACTGCTTTTGGCGTCGACGAAGAAGCGTTTTTAGACACGGAAGAGCTATTATATGATCCAGGGATTGCCGAATAAGAGTAACTTAAATTTTTTAATTTAAATTTGTGCAGTCAACATATATATAGTAAACTGAAAGTAAAACTTTAAACGCGTTTTTCTCAAAATCATTTTTTTCAACCTGGTTGACAGCAAATCAAAAAAATCGACCTATTGATTTGGTGTAAATTATATTTTATTCAGAAAACTTACCTCTATCGCCGGACGTAGACGTTTTTTAATTAATAAAAATTTCACAATTTTATTCAACTTTTTTGTAACAAAAAAGGCCAAATTAAAAAAAAAGATTCACATGTCCGTCATTTTGTTACTTTTTGCAATTTTGCAATTTTTCTACGTCCGGCTATAGTTATATTCATTTTTTACTATCATAATTTTTTATTTTTTGTTTCGAACAGCGCATATAGTCGATTCATTGTCAACGAGGCAAAAGTAACTGTTCAAGGTTACTCTTTGTTCAGCAGCCTTAATTCTAGTAACTGAGACAAAAAAATTTTTTTACACGTACTTCAGTACTGATAAAATAAAGACACCATAAAACAAAATTACCTTACTTTATTATACACTGTTAGAAATGTAACCACGAGCTTTCTTTACATGTAAATGAAGCTTGTGGTTATGAACGAAATTAAAAGTAATGAATGATTTAACTGAAAATTAAGTTACAGTAGTTACTTAAATGTAATGAACGTGTACATTAAATTTATGAAATTTAATGTACTTTTAATAAAATTTTATGAAAAGTACATTAAATTTCATAAATTTTCATGAAAAATACATTAAATTTTATGTATATGTACACAAATATACTTTTTAATTATAAATACATTAAATTTGATATAATGCCATGAAATTAATTTCAAATTGTGTAACTTAAAATGTAATGAAATTTAAGAACATTTCTAACAGTGTAAATTTAAAAAAAATAAAATTCCAAAGAACTCCTAGTTTTTCAGGCCTTCACCCTGTCTATACCCCTTAAAGAACTCTGAAAGACATCGTAAATTGTTTTGTACATCAATTTTAAATATTTTACTCATTAGGCAAACTAAAAAAAAATATTCCGAAAATTGCAAAAAGGAGAAGACTTTTCGACTTAGTTTTTTATTAGGAATAGCACTATATGATTAGTGGACGTTATTTCAGACACACTCTGTATATATGCATATTGTTTGAGTGTATATACATTGTTAATCATATATAAAATAGATTTGGCACAGATGATTGTAATAATGACTTGTAGTTACAATCAACAATTTTATTAAAATAACGTTTCAATACATTTTTTTTTATGTATCCAAATTATTATTCGTGTAAATTATATATTTATAATTTGTAAATTCTTTATTTGTAGTATATGTTATATTTCACACCTTTACCATTACACGAAGTACAGATAAATACGAAAGAGATGTTTTTAGGATACTTACGTAAGTTGCCAAATTTACCACGATAAAATTTCCAGCTTGCAAAGCGACGGGGGAATCTGAACACATTAGAATGAATATTATATGTCTCGTTAGCTTTGCAGGAAAATTGTACCAAGTGCTCCGATAAACAGAAAGCCCTATTTCTTCCATTTCGGATCTTAAATAATTCCCAATAACACCGTATAAAGTTAATTGTGTTAGAAAGGTACTTTGTACCATTATATTTTTCGTAATTAAAACAACGTTGTTTTCACTTGTTAGTTGTAAGATAAGTTGAAATCCTGAAAAAAATATTTATTTCTTTAATATAGATTTTTATATCATAATACGATTTACAAAATAATTATAAGTAATATATCATTCACACACCCATTATGCATAAAAGAATACTGATAAGAAATAATTCTATCAATAAAACGAAACTAATCATTTCGGCAAGTTGTCTGGCCAGTTTTATTAAGTATTTGTGTCTTTCAATCAATACGTTAAAACGATTATAGATATGCGGGCTTCTGATATCAAAATTAAGAAAATTGGCTCTCAGAATTTTCACTTGGCCGCAAACGTGCAATGTAATGTTCAGAAACAAAGCGTCGTTACCTTTCAATCATTAAAGAAAATAATATAGCCTATAGTAATACACTAATAAATATGCAGAACGATATTAATACTTTTTTAATATAAATAAAGCAAAATTTTCATGCTTTAACAATTTTAGTAGACAATGAAAGTATTTGCATTAATAAATATAATAAAAATTGCTTATGCATAGAATATACTTATATGTATATGTATGTAATATGTATACGTGTGTTTTTTAAAATAAATGTTGCTAATCTTTAAAGATTAAATACAAAGAAAAGATAAAAAGACATCAAATAACATGCTGACAATACCATGATTAGTAGTACTCGCTAGTATTAATGCAACAACATCGACGAGGCAGAAGATTTTATGCATGCTTACTGGAGCATTTAAGAACTTCATAAAGCATTTCGATGGTAATGGATATTCTAGCATGGTACCTTCGTTCGTTATATTGACGTGTTTATATTCATCCAGAATAGCGATTAGTCCATACATTATAGAACTAAAATAAGCGAAGCCCAAAATTAAACAGCACAGAGTCCTTCCCATAAAAGCATGTTTCCTCATGATGGCACGTTCTTTTGTGTTTTCAATTGTCAAATAATCCTTCATGGCAGAGCTATAATTGTTAGCCAAATTTTTTGCGTAAATGCGAAACCATATTATCTTTAACACACCAAGTATTCCGCAAAAGATTAACATGAGACAATCTATGCTTGTCTCCGCGTCAGTGCAGCCCAAATAAATCTCGAAACAAGGTATGACAATCAAGAGGACCTATTGACACGTCTTCATATAATAAAATATCAAATAAATATTAATTTACGTTGTCCTCAAAGAATCGTATGTTATTGATCATCGAGGTTAAACTCAGAAAGTGCATACCGCGGAAAAGATGCCGAAGACATATCGTATCAACGAATAAGCATTACGAACTTGAAGTGGCCAGATACCAATGGACCACGCTACCAATTTAAAAGGGGTTATCGCATATGCGACATCGTCTTTCCATCGTTCACTTGCCATTGGGTTAAGGTAATAACTGTAACTGCTACCAATAACCGATAACGTATTCGATATAACGTCTGTCTGCGTTTCGAGTTATTTTTTATTCATCTTGAAAACTTATACCAGCCTGTCATTATGCTCTTAACACATTATCATAGAATATAGAGAATTATGTTGTTATACGCATAGCTATTGCAATAAAAATTTGTGAGAGTATATTTTGTTAGTTGTCGCTTAACGATCGTTTTATGCTATCGTGCATGAACTGTCAAGAGAAGAACTTCATCTCCCGCTTATACTACACTTATACTACGTTCTAGTTCTATATTACATTTTATTTCGTCTAGACAATCTTTATATCATTTCAACTGTAAATATTGTAGATTTAATTCTTTTGAACATACAAATATACAGTACGAATGAGTAAATTGTTTTGTAAATTTTGTTCGATATATTTACATTACGAAAACTGGTTAAAGAATAATATACGCTACAAGTAAGTAATTTTACATATTAATAATTTTATATACATATATCTTAAACAAAATTTCTTTAACAAAACAAATTTAAAAATTAATTTTAGACAGATATATATTTGTTAGATAATTTCTACAATTAAATTTATCTATTTACAAAATTTTATCGCAAGATGTAGTCTTATTTAAGAAGAAAATTCAAAATAAGGAATTTTTGAATGGTTTGCTTGTAATATTCTTCTAAGGCCCAGTTTCATAACTCACGGTTAACTCTTAACCGAGGTTCAACTTATTTCTCATCTTTTTCCAATTCTAGAATTGAAAAGAGATAATGAATAAGTTGAACCTCGGTTAAGAGTTAACAGTCAGTTGTGAAACTGGGCCTAAAAACGTTAAATTTTTACGTAATGTAAGTTAAAATCATATGTTAATATTTTATATTAATATTGAACTAAAAATTTCACATCGCTACAAATGCTTCTCTTAAATAATATGTGACATAATATGTGATAAAGAAAAATCTTTATTAGTAACTATTTATTTCTTGTTTGTCAATCATAACACGTAAAGCGGATAAGTAAGATACTGCAGTTTTTAAAATGTCCGTAAAAGTAGCACGTGTGACGTAGAAAAATTTTCCGGCAGTTAGACGAATGGGTATATTCGTTTTTATCATAACGAACGCTAAGTCTCTTATATCATTAGGCGAAAAATCGCACCAATTACTGTCATAAAGCGCGAATGACAAGGCCTCGCTTTGATCCCTCAAATTATCACCCGCATATGAATACAGAAAGCATTGCATCAACATAACAATCATTATTACAATGCTCTTCACCGTCATAACTATGTCATGAATGTGCCAGGATACGATGAGTCCAAAGCCTTAAATTAATACATTTTAGTCTCTGATTTGATCTTTTTAAAACTATAATTGTTTAAAAATTTTATTTTGGCTCTCTCATAACTCAGTTCAAGGCTGATACAATCTGCATGTATAACATATTCTTATAATACGTAAACTTGTCTTTTGTAATAAACTTTAATAATTAATTAAAAATTTAATTAAAAAATGTACTAAACTTCGTAAAATTTTATGAAACATACACTAAATTTCATGTACATGTACACAAATATACTTTTCAGTTACAGATACATAAAATTAATTTAGTGTCATTAAAATTGAATTTAATTTATGTAAAGTATATTAAATTTCATGACATTTTTAACAGTGTAGATAAATAGATAAACGGATCTTCTGGAAGACGTGTTGTGACGTGTGGAACGCCCGACGCACTACGGTAATTATATTCTATTACAAACGACACGCATGCGTCATATCTCAGGATTTCATAATACGAACTATATAATAATTTATGTAAATATCTTCATATTATAGCAATTACACAAAATTGTTCGCGCCCAATAATCGCGGAGAATTTATTTGATTTCCGGGATAGAGGATTGATCAGTCGATGAATAATTTATTGCAACGGAACAAATTACAACTTGTGCGTTTCAGTCCATTTCTATAATTGATTTAAATTGTCCGCTTTTACGCACAATTTTTACGTTATAATTACTTCTTGACTCTGCAATCTTCGCACCGCTCGTTTAGAAGAATTCCGCAACATATCATTTCGTAATGGGTCAGTACGCAGATCGCGCCTTACGTCCTGCTTCTTTCCAACGGATAATTAAATGCGCGTTGAGGAAAAAGATCGATCAGTCGGTCGGACATGTATATACATAAACACCCTGTACATGTATATACATAAACACCCTGTATATGTATATATAATAAAATTAAATTTAAAACTGAATATTAAAATTAAAATTATACAGGATGTCCAGTACGTTTTGACAAAGCGCTCGTGTGTAGATGGAGTGGACTAAAGTGAGTCGAAAAGTCCTTTGCTATTTTGCAATTTTCGTAATTTTTTTTTTAAGTTACTCAATGAGCAAAATGTCTAAAATGATGTATAAAACAACTTTAAGATACTTTTAAGAATTCTTTAAGAAACATCTTTAAGATATTTTATAAAAAACTTTGAAAAGAATTTTAAAGTTGTTTTATGAGTCAATTTTACTTGCTTATTCGACAATCTTTAAAAATTAATATCTCGTTCACTATTGCGAAAATTGCAAAATGGTAGAGGACTTTTCGATTCAATTTAGTCCGCTCTATCTGCATACAAGTCCTTTGCCAAAACTTACACCCTGTATATTGTACATTTTGATTTTTTGAGGCAATAATTAAAAATATACATATATTTATATTTCTTTTGGATATTATAAATTCTCCTATACATAAAGAAAATATATAATTCATAGACTTACCTGTTATGCATATCAAAATTGCGCTGGTGAAAATCTGAGTTAAAATAATTATACTGTAGGAATCTTCAACAGTTTCCGTGAGTTTTAACAACTTTCGATGTCTTACGACGAATTCTTCAATGATGCTGCCTCCTTTGCGTTTATGATCGATTTGATGAAAGTCACTCATCAGAAGTTCGAGCTGTCCACACAGGTGCATTGTGATACCGACAAAAATTCCCTCCGTACAGCAGTTTCCAGCATATGTTACAAACAACTGAATCACCTGGTAGAATGTAATGAGGACATACTGGAGATTGGAGACGGACTCGAAGAGACAGGTCATCGGAAGGACAAACGTCCTTCCGTTGGCTGTCGCGTTTATGAAGGGTAAAAGTCGCAACAGATAAAATGTAAGGGAAACGAAGCCACAGTAAAACAGAGACAGCGAAATTATTCTCGCAGTGCGTGCATACTGGATCATGATCTCACGCGACCTCGCATCCTTGATGTTACACCAGTCCTGAATAGCAGAGCATAGATTGATCGAAAGTGTGGATCGTTGTATTTGCAACATAGTAAGTTTGATAATTCCTAGCATTGCGCTTGAGGCCACCACATACGTGTCAATCGGATCCTCAGAGGAATTTTCGCAAGCGAGGTAGACATCCATCAACAGTGTTGTCATCAGCAAAATCTAAAATAATAATATACAGGGTGTTTCAGAAATAGTTGGCCAACCCTAAGAGCATATATTCCACTCATTATAAGGATGAAAAAAAGTCATATAAACATGGGTTTTTTGGAAACGCTTCCTTTTCAAGTTATAAATATTTCTAATTTACCAAATAAATAAATATGTGGTTTAGGGGAGCCCCCCCCCCCCAATGACCTTGACCTTGATATATGTTGTCAAGGTCATGACCCTGTGTGACCTTGAGAAAGTTTTGATCGTCGGACGTCACTCGTTCAAAAGTTATGAAATATAAATATAAGTATAAAATAAAATATAGGTATAAGTATAAAATAAAAAAATATTTATAACTTTGTGTGTGTGTGTGAAAGGAAACGTTTCCGAGTTCATGTTTATATAACTTTTTTTCATCCTTACAATGAATGGTATATGCTTTTAAAGTTTGGCCAACTATTTCTGAAACACCCTGTATAGATTATTGCGGCAAATTAAAATGTTTTGCAACTTTTTATTTGTAATATTTATACTTTCAAGAAAAATTTATTTTTCATAAGTACATTTTTACATTTATATAAAACGTACTTGTGCTTACGATTTATACTTTATATAAAATGTAAATACTTTTGTATATTTTGTAGCAATAGTAAAGATAAATAATAATCCCAGAAATGTATTTAACATGTATAGTTGTATCAAATAGGTAAGCTTGTACTATTCTACTCGATACAAGCAATGTGTCTCTATAGGTACGTTTTTTACTTTAAAAATTATCAAAAGCAATATAAAAAATATGCAATTTTTAAAAATATATTATAAACTTTAAGAAATGATAAATCTCTTAACACAAAAGAATCAACATTTGTTAAATAATTTAAATTTTGGTAAGGAACCTGTGTTTTGACACATTTTTAAGGAGCAATTTATTCGGTCGCGTATAATATCTAACAATACTAATTCACGTTCTTTGATTTAGTTTTTTGGCAAGAAAGCAAAAGAATCAAAAATTTGAACTAAGCTTTCAGATATCACATAATATTGCGCGATTGTTTGTGTATCTCACAGCTAGTCCGAATGAGAATCTGCTTCTCAAAAGTGCAACGGAGAATATAAGTTCCTAAACAAAAGTTGCTTCTTTTGTAAAGATTTATCATTCTCTAAAGTATTGCCTGAAGTACCTTATATATATATAATATAAATTTATATAATATGTATATATATGAGCACTCACACATATATATGTATTTATGATCACACATATGTATGTATGTATATACATATATATACAGGGTCCGCCAAAAGTACCGGGACGGTCTAATAACTTTTGAAAGAATTAAATTTTCAAAAATCGCCGAAACACGTGATTCGATTTTTCA